CCAATTAATTGGTTTTCCATTATTTCTTATGGGAAAAATTTGATCAGAACTTGAACTTTTTAGGATTCGATCCGGAGTCCGGAACGGATTAAGTTCAAGAACCGAGGTACCACTGTACTTACAAAAAATAAAGAAAAACAATTTTGGGGGGTTCTCAGCTTTAAATCACTCGGATGCGTAACAGCACAAAGGTAACAATATTGAACAATATTGTTCAGTTCTGTACGTGGCGATAGTCTTCACCCTCACTAAAGTTCGTTCGGCTCTGCAGTTGTCTGCCCTTCACTCTCCACTTCACTACTTGTAACTGTGCTGACTGAGGAGCGCCAAATGTCCTCACCACTCCAAACTCACCTGGCTATAATATGTAAATCAGAGAAAATATAATAATCTTACAAAGATCTGGGAAGGCATGGTGACGATTTACTACGAATAGTATATGAAAGAATTAGGAATCCCAATAAAGCATACATCCAATCTCAGGTTCTGAAGAAAACTCTGGAGAGCATTTCATTTGATCGGAGACATAATCTCGTCGTTGAGAATGACTTTGTTGAAGATGTAAATGATGACATTAAGACATCACGTACAGAACCGCGATGGACTGTGTCATTCACATATAGCTAAAGAAATATATAAATGAATAATATAATATTAACCCATACATAAATTATTTGTATTTATGAAAATATTATCATAATATTCACATGAAAATGTGAATGCATTCTGAGAAGAGCCGTTATATGGCATTGTGGAGCTGCGGTGCAGCAGAAAATGGAAAGAGGCAGTCAGCACAAGCAGAGCGCCAAAAAAACAAGTGTGTTTATTTCAGCGTGCCTAAACACCCCAAAAGAACCCGCGGTGGGCATGCGTCAACACCACACCCTGCATGCATGAGCAAAGGTAAGGGAGAATGAATTCTGTCTAAAAGGTAGGAGCCCCTACACACGCCCCCGCAGAATTCACAAACACAGACAAGTCCAACTTGCGGGGAGGCCGGGCCACCCGACCAGAACGAGTCACAATAGGCTGTGAGGCTGGGGAGGTTGGGTGCCCAGCCGTCGCCGGAGCAGTCCCCCAGTCCCCTGCGCACACACAGTAGCTGGGGGGAGGGGGGGGGGG